GGCTGGTGCACGGGCAGGGGGGCGGCGGGGGCAGGGCCCGTGGGGCACGGCCCGCAAGGCTCCCTTGCCGCGTGCTGCGCAGGGGAGTTGAAGAAGCAACCATCCTGCTCCATCTCTCGCTCGAGCAGCCGCAGCGTGTTGCAGATGAGCACGGAACGGCGCAGGGAGGGGTCCGAGAACTGACGGTAGCGACCCAGCTTGCACATGGACAGGTTGAGCACGGCTAAGCGCCGCTGGCGATAGCACGAGCCCGGAGCTCCGGGACCCGGCCCTCTCGAGCACCAACTAGTCCGACTGCCATCACAACACTTCACAACCTGGTTGGCACCGCTGCTGACACTCGTTGTCACCGGGTAACTGCTGCCCAAGTCCAAGTAGGACTTGCCGTTCTCCTCACAGCGGATCGTCTGCTGGTGGCTGGCAGGCGCCCGCTGAGGTGGCGGCGTCTGCGCTGGCGGCGGCTGCACCGCGTTGGGGACAACACTCGGCACAGCGCTGGCCACCGGCACGGGGGGCACCACGTCCTGGCGGTAGTAGCCCGCCGGGGCCGGGGGAGAGGGTTGCGGCGGCCCGTTAGGACCAGGCTGCTGGCCAGGCTGGCCGGGCTGGCCGGGAGGGCCCCAGTAGCCCCGGTGGTAGCCTCCACCCCCTCGGTAGGGGTAGCCCTGGTCGTACTGCGGCGCCGAGACAGTAGTGTAGCCCATCTGGTAGCCACGGCCCGCGGGGAGGTAGGCCTCGTCGCCCTCCTCCACATCATCCTCCTCGTCGTCCTCGTCGCTGTCGTCTCCAGCATCCGACAGCAGTGACGTGGCCAGGGCGGCCGATGTCGAGTCCACGCCCCAGTCGTCGCTCACGGAGCCGGTGTCAGTGCGGCCCACCTTGGCCTGCGGGCGGAGCATCCAGTCACCGTCTTCAGCGTCGGCGCCACCCCCGCCACCGTCCTCCAGCTTCCGCTTGGTGGCAGTCGCGTGCAGTCCCATCATTACGGGAGTCTGTAAACAGAAGAAAAAGAAGGCAACGTTAGAGCACGTTTTCAAATGTCCGACAATTTGGCGCTCGGTGTCCCCCACCCGCCAGTCTTTACCGCGCGGCACGGAGCAAGAGCAAAACCGCATGGATGGGTCAGTCGGGCGGGTCCGGTGCGGTGCCAGACTCAAGGCGTTATCACAGTCGATAAGGCGCAGCGGTGGGCAGCGTTCGGCACAGCAGCGCAGCTGAGCGAGCTGAGCCGAGCGCCAGAGCCGCGGCCGCGGGCCCGCCAGGCCCCGCCAGGCCCCGCCAGGGCCCCGCAGCCTGAGATTGGCCATGACGCGGCGCCAGATGGAATGAGGCGAGCGGGCGAGGCGCGGCGATGTGCCGCAAGGTTAGGCCCGGACCGGCCCGGGCCGAACGGAGCGGACCAGCTGACAGATAGTGCTCCAAGGGGTGGCCGTGGGCCTGGGGGATGAAGTCTTCGCGGCTGTCGCGGCTCTGTGCGTGCGAGCGGGAGGGAATGACAGGGTGCGGGGGGGG